AAATGCAAGATGAAGTACTGTTTTAAAAGGTGATTCTCAGAAGCAGGCAGTCACACTTAGGTATTTAATACTACCCGGTCCAATCCTCAGACTTTTTCTTGAATCAACCTGGTCTCCTAATCCTCGTGTATTACAACCTTTATCCGTGTTTTTTATTCATCTGTTTCCTTTCCACAATGAATGGAAATATACTGGCTGATCATGAGAGGCTAGATCTGATTCTGTTATCTTGCACCTTTCACAGCAATGCAAAGCAGGTGTGAAACACTACTATATATGAACTAACTTCCTATTCACATGGCACTGACAAAAATGGCTGGGCTAGATACATGGCAGCGGAGAAGCAGGCCATATAGAAATACACACAGATGTATGTATGATATGTATATGTATGTACATACATATATATTGTTATCATAGAACAGCTTGGGTTGAAAGGGATTTAAGAGATCATCTAGCTTCAAGCCCCTGCCACGGGCAGGGTTGGCACCCATGAAATCAGGCACCAGCTCAGACTGCCCAGAACTTCATCCAACCTAGCCTAAAGCACCTCCAGAGATGGCATCCACAGCTTCTCCGAGCAGCCTGTGCCAGCACCTCATCATCCTCTCAGGAAAAAATTTCCTCCTGACATCTAATCTAAGTCTCCCCTTTCAGTTTAAAGCTGCAGTATAAATTAGATGGTGAAATTCTCCACTTTATGGGCATGATGCATTTTAGCATGTTTCAAAATAGCCTTGTTGAAAAATAGAACCTCTATTAGCAGAAATTATGCAGAAGTGTAATTTTTTTTCTCTTCATAATGAAGGCATTTTAACAGAATTTACATTTTAATCAAAACATCCCTTTAAAAGTCTTTCTGCCTTCTCATATGGTTTCTGCCATTCTGGACAATCTGAGAATTTTCTTTGTTGGTATTAAAGACAGAAAAAGCAATGGAAGCACCATCTCCGGGCTAAGTAGGAATCATTCACATGTGTCAAAGCAGATAAAAGAGTTTTGATCACTTCAAACACATTACCACGATATTTTCTTTAATTATAGAACATTTTAGCTGCCATTATGTAACTCAATAGCACATGACATCACTCTTTTACCCCAGCAGATTCTGGTCCTAGAGATTCTGAGAGATTCTGTTGTAAAATGTAAGCAGAAGGAAGATTAAGAAACGCTAAATATCACAAGAACAATCCACTGAATCAATCTGGGTTTGGGCTGTTACTACTGATATAGAGATAGCCTTATTTTCCAAGACAGAAAACAGATAAAAGTCCAAAATCTTCACTAGATTTTACCAGCTTTGCTCATCTCTGGATTTGTCTAGCTATCATGTTAGGCATGATAGCTGATTTTAGTTTTTTGATAGAGGGATAATGATATATCATTAGTATATTTTTATGCCAATTATATATTACATTATACATATATTACGTTCATTTACAGAAGGCTTCCAAATTTCTACATCCAATCGTGGGTAAATGCACCAGAGGTGGATGCCAGTGAATGAACTATCAGGTGTGGTTCTCATTCACTTCTGCACTTCTTTGGATCAGCCAAAGGACTGGGAAACTCTAATGGGACGTTTATTAAGAGGCTGCTCAGTAGTTGCTCTGTGTGTAGTTTAGTAGAACTTTCTGGTCTTTTTAAAGTCCCTTTTGTGGGATGCCTTGGTAGGAAGAACACTGAACACCAGTTTCCATCTTATGAGTGGCCCTGTGGCAATGGAGGCAGGAGCCTTCTGCAAAAAATCTATGTTACGTTACCAAAATGTTGTCACAAAACAATTGTCTCCTTTGCGGCTTACAGGGCACATCTGCTTCCCTGACCACTGAGCTGCTATATCTCGAGGATATTTCTGGATGTCTATACATTGCTGAAGTACTGTAATTTGCTTGTACAAAACAACCATACACTACAGAAGCTGTAAATTTCACAGAATCATGGCATCACAGAACAGTAGGGTTTAGAAGGGACCTTTGGAGATCAACTAGTCCAACCCCTCTGTAAAGGAGGCTCCCTGCACAGGAAAGTGTCCAGGAAGGTTTTAAATATCTTCCAGAGCTGTGAAATGTAGATAGCACAAGGCACATTCTAGACCTGGCAAGATGTAAAAATACTCATTGGGACACATTGGTATAATTGTTACATTTAAAATCAAGAGCCTTTCAGTACTGAAGCGTGGAATGGCTTAGGAGTATTTTTTCTTCTCAAACACAAAGTAGTCTTTATGATTAGATAGTAATTTGACAGTGAAAAAAAATACGAAATTGAGATCCATCTTGTCAGTAACATTGCTTGGAGTCAGTTTTATGAAATCTTGAAAGCAGACCTACAGCTCCAAAGAAGCAAAGCATTTAAGAACACACCTGTATATGTGAAGGAACTCTGCATGTTCTTAAATACAGACAGAACCATTCATGCTCATTCAACAGATACTTCCCTGCTCTGCTGAACCAGAGACTAAAAGTTCTCAATTCCCCTCAGAAACCAAAGAGAACGCTCACAGCTAACAGCAAGAGAGAGGATGGTTGTGATGTTCTCTACTGATAACACTGCTGGCATGTACCACTGCAGAGAATTTAAATATCCTGTCAGAATTGGTCATTTCTTCCCTTCACTGCAGGAAAACAGCACTTTTTAACACAGTTGATGTGAAAGAGCAGCCTGACAGTTATCCTAAGCAGGAAAAACTCACTCGGGAGATGTATTCATATATGAGAAGAATCACATTGTGAGTCAGCATAAAAGGGCCTTTTCACAGATCCCTTAAAATGCAAAATGGTTCAATTCCCCTCTCTGCTTCTTATCGGCAAGTGCTACCTGGTTTAATGAAGTGTCAGCATTTCCTTCTGCATCCTGAATTCTCAAGGCTCCAAAACTCTACAGTAAAAATCTGCTCCAGGCTGAAATGGAGCAGCCATGCTCCAAGGCTGCTGGGAACATATTCCTGAATTCTTGTTGAAAAATGTTTTTTGGTTCTTGTTTTACTGATACTCAGAAAATTGGGCAACTAACCCTTGCTTAATTATGATCTGAACATTAACAATATCATGCACAAACTGACTTCGACCACTCAAAAGACTCTTTGACTTATTTTTCAGAAAGACTGTTGAGGATTGGTGAAGTCAGTAACAAAAAAATGAAAACTGGGCAACCTGATTCAGCTGTGCATATCCCTGTTCATTGCAGGAGAGTTGGACTAGATGACCTTTAAAGGTCCTTTCCAACTCTAAGGATCCTATGATTCTATAACATATAGGAGCTGTTTACCTAGGATCACAAAGCACATACCACAACTTATCATTTTTTAACCTATTGTACAGATGAAGACACTTTGCCTCGAGAAATTTCCCTAATAGGACAATCCAATAAAAAGATACCAGCAGTCCTACTTCTTACCTTCCCTAACCTCTAGTTTGCTTATCTTCCTAGACTACCATATTAAGCTGTGATTTTAGCACATATTAACATGTACATTGGACCATCACATAAGAATGCTCTGATAGACTGATGCAAGAGAAGGTACTTGGTTTTGTATCTGTGACAGTGGGTAAGTTTCTCATCTGTTTGGCAGTAAGGCTGGATTGAAAATGGAGAAAAGCCTGTTTGCTTCTGTATCCTTCCAAGCTTATTTGCTCATACTGCTTAAATACTGGCACAGGCTGCCCCAGCTATGGAGATACTCAGGATCAGACAAGGCCCCAGGCATGCCTGAGTCCAACTTTGAAGTTGTCCCAAATGACCTACAGAGGACCTTTCCAACCTAAATAATTCTGTGATGTCTCTCTATTAAACAGCTTACCTTAAACTTGGCAAATACTTGCTTTTGACTTTGTTTGCTAATAGGGAAGGTCAAGTGCAGTTTTGTACTATGTCTACCTAAAAGAGCAGATAGGAGGAACTTCTCGATTGCAGGAGAGCATTGGTAGCAAGAAGCAGAAGTTATTTTTAACTACTCTATTCCTTTGGCAGTGATTTGTTTCAGATTATTGCTCTGCATTTACTGGCAGCAGACAATTAAAAGAAACTAGCTCTTTTTAACCTCTGCTCTGGCTACACTACTGAAAAAGGGACAGTACAATTAATGGAATACTACGAGAGTATCTAAATAATATTTTAATTTATATAGTTCTTCTGTTTATACAGTGATCTACTTGATCTATTAAAAGAGGATTGAGCAGAGAGAGAAAGTGTGGTCGTTAGAGTTGCTAATTTCATCCTGACTGTTCCCCTCAGTTATTATGGAATATAACCAAGGGATCTCTTCTAAGATGAGGAGAGCAGGAGCTGAAGCAGAAAAAGCAAATAATTCTTACAAAAACATTCACTGACTTTGGGGGCTGCTTCCATCTTCAGCATAACTTGGTTAACCAAACTGAAGTCATGTGTACTGCAGGAAAGCTTGGTTTGGTAAGTGCCTGTTCCTTGACCTGTCCCTAGGATTTAGTAATATAACCTAACAATGCCAAACCAGACTCTGATCCTTACTGTGGAAGCCACCTGAGACTGCCATTTGCATTTACCAGCACCTTACTGAGGAATCTGAAGTGCCACAGCTCTCACCTGGCTGGGAGCAAGAGGCAGCCACCACACCTCCGACACAGTGCTGTGAAAGGACTCCTGCATGACCACTGTCCTGGGAGGTGTTCACTATCTTTAAGACCAGAAAGACTCAGTTTAGGCAGGTACAATTTAACTATGTTCTTAAACTGAAATACCAAAGAAAGCTCTGAGATTCAAATGCTTGCTTAAATTCATACTCACACTGAAGTACTATCTGTATAGGAATGGACATCGGCATGTACTTGTGTACTGGTTTCCCTTCAAGTTTGAATGTCAAGCTATCTTTGCTGGTGAGACTTGGCACCTTCAGTCCAGAGGAAGAAGGCTTGGTATAATCTTCAGTTCTAGCACAGCTCTTGTCTCTCTTTTTTGTCAGAATCAAAGCTTCTGTGCTTAACTTACTGCTTAACATTTCTCTCATATCTTTCTTTTCACAGTACGTGGCATTTGCCTCCCTCTTCTTCATTCTGGTCTCCATCACCACCTTCTGCCTCGAGACCCACGAGAGATTTAACCCCATTGTGAACAAGACAGAAACTGAATTCATCGGGAATGACACCCAGGTGCGGCACTACAGGGAAGCAGAGACCGAAGCCTTCCTCACCTACATCGAAGGTGTCTGTGTGGTCTGGTTTACATTTGAGTTCTTGATGAGAGTCACTTTCTGCCCAAACAAGGTGGAATTTATCAAAAACTCTTTGAACATCATTGACTTTGTGGCCATACTGCCTTTCTATCTAGAGGTTGGACTCAGTGGCCTGTCTTCCAAAGCTGCTAAGGATGTCCTGGGCTTCCTCCGCGTAGTCCGTTTCGTGCGAATCCTGCGAATTTTCAAGCTGACCCGCCACTTCGTTGGGTTGCGGGTCTTGGGACACACCCTCCGTGCCAGCACAAACGAATTCTTGCTGCTCATCATATTTCTGGCATTGGGCGTCTTAATCTTTGCCACGATGATCTATTATGCCGAGAGAATAGGTGCTAAACCAAATGACCCTAGTGCCAGTGAACACACACACTTTAAAAACATCCCCATCGGCTTCTGGTGGGCTGTTGTCACCATGACGACCCTGGGCTACGGAGACATGTATCCTCAGACTTGGTCAGGCATGCTGGTGGGGGCCCTCTGCGCTCTCGCTGGCGTGCTGACCATTGCCATGCCTGTCCCTGTCATTGTGAACAATTTCGGAATGTATTACTCCTTAGCTATGGCTAAGCAGAAGCTACCAAAGAAAAAAAAGAAGCATATCCCGAGGCCACCCCAGCTGGGATCCCCCAATTATTGTAAATCTGTCGTAAACTCTCCACACCACAGTACTCAGAGCGACACTTGCCCACTGGCCCAAGAAGAAATTTTAGAAATTAACAGAGCAGGTAGGAAACCTCTTAGAGGAATGTCCATCTGACCGTTAACCTCCATCCCGCGTAGTGATTTAAGATTCAGCCAGACTGCTTTCTTAGAGCAATGGGTAGCACATTTATCCATTCTAGTCCCACCATCACACAGTGAATAATATGTGTGAAATCTAGGTTGCAGGGACAAATGGTACAAGTGGAGGCTGATCAGCAAAACTAAGCATGAGAGCACGCTCTAGGAGCCCAAACTTTGGTCCTGGTTAAGGGCATACAAGTCTCAAGATATTCTGAAGAGCTGTTACATCTAGTGGAAGAATTTTGAGAGTTCTACAGCTATTTTGCTGGACTGTGTAATGCATCTCAGAGGCTCCTGAGAGCTGAATGCTTCATAGAGCAGAGTAGGAGCCAAGTACTCAGCAATTACAGAGTTCTCTGACAAAACAGGGCTGGAATTCGAAACAGCCAGATGCTTTCTCATTTGTTCCCAATTGGGACCTTTCAGCTGTTTTAAATGGCAGATATTGTACATCTCATTACAGAAACTAGGTGCCTAGTAAGTTGAAGGGACAACTATACCATCATGCATATTCATGAGATGATCCGTCTCTTTCTGATGATTAACTGCAAAGTAGAACAACAGCTCAAATTCTTGACACTAATACAAAATGACTCATTCTGAGACAAGACTAGATGTAAGGATGTTTATTCCATGGCATGTTAACCAGTTATTCTATAATATTCCACTAGAAATTAGCATTTAGAACTATGAAGAGTTTTGAACTACATTTTCTATAAACCACACTCCTTTTTTGGGTTGGTGAGTTACAGCTCTCAACCTTGCGGCAGAGGCTGACTGGAAAAGGTCTGACTGATCATTACTGGCTGGTTTGACCTGAACAGTGATTGCCTCATATTATGGTATTTTTACTTTTAATTATACTGATTTATGTCAGCAATAGGTGAAACCAGAGCAAAATTAATCATACTAATTCTACCAGGGGGGAGGGAAATGAAAAAAATACTAGTCACCATGGAATATATTATAATATCCCATGGCTAGTGGTTAATTATGGGAATATCTCAGTTTTATGAGAATCCTCCTATAGCACATAAAGTTACGGGGCTCCAATTTGATTGTTTCAACCCCATAATCTACCTCTACCCACGGAATATCACTATTTATTCTATGGAGTAATTTCAAAGTAGATAATAATGTCAAAAACAAAGCCAACTGCATTTTTGGCAGATGTCCCAACCGAGTTGCATAGTAGACATTTTACAGCCTATTCAGAATATTCCCCTGTGTTGCATTAGATAAAACAGATCTCCAATCAAGTGATTTTAACTGACATCTAGACAAGGGATGTTTGGAAAGAGCTAGAGTATACCTATGATGGTCTTGTGTTATCATTTCTTTTACTTTGAAGAAAATTCTAATTTGTTACTCATCCTGAGTGAGGTATTTTCTTGTCATCTCATAGCCATGCATGTTGATGTCATTGTGAGAAGCACAAAGAAAGTGAGACTTTCCTTTGTGTATAACTTCACCTATGCCAATGCTAATTTTGGAGGGGAAGAGCTGGTGGGAACTTTTCTCTCTTCTTTTGTCTTTTTCCTTTTGTGCAACTGTGTAAAATCCATTCAGAAGGTAAAGAGCTTTTTTTTTTTTTTTTTTTTTTGTTAAAGACTATTCCATTGCAACAGGCCAATCACAATTCACGTGACTGATAGACTGTCTCTTTCCTATTGTATCTTTGGTGCATAAGCGTATGGTTTTATCATCCATTCCCTTCAGGTTGCAAATGCTTATCACGAGTCATGTCCAAGCAGCAAACTTCCTCGTAAGTGATGCCCATGTGGCATCATGTATCAAGAGGGATAGAGTGCACAGACAATATGGTGCATTTTCTACCACAAGCAATATGCCAACCACCCTCTCGTAAAGTGTGTAAGACATCTCACTTCTGAGTACTTTAGCAAACAGCTACAGAATGACCTTCTCAGAAATCCTTTCCTTTATCAAGTTCCTTCCATTACATATCCTGGTGATCTCTGGGAACTAGAGGACTAAGAATTCTACAAGTTCAATGCAAATCCACACTGGTATCCTGAGAATACATGTTATTTTGGTTCAATGTGGAACTGTTTTGCCACCACCAGTGCTCTAAAATCAGCTGTTATCACGATATCCATGAAATATCGATAGTAACAGCAACTTACCTGTTTCTGCAATAATTAATTAGAAGAGGCTATTTTTATACATGTGTACAAGCATATACATTTTGAGAAGTAACAAAGCACACTTGTATTTCAGCTAACAAAATGGACTTGGTAACACTGTTGCTGAAGACCTGTTTCTGATAATTATTATGCACCACTAGCAGCAAAAAATATTGCCTGCATCTCTCAGCTTTCTCACAAGGAAAGATCTATATGTGTGCAAGAGATAATTGCAAAATAATAAGATCAGAACTAACTGTTAAAACAAGATCTGCACTGCCTTGGATGTTGAGGTTCACTTTATGTATATGAAGCTTTCATAGGCTCTAACTTGTTCTTGAAACTATAACCGCACATCATATAAAAACAGAGACTTGCAAGTAGTGATGCTCCCCTTACTGTAGAATATTTGCATTAGTTAACCCCACCTAGCTGTAGGCAACCAGTTAGCATCATGCTAGGTACTCAGAATGGGTCCTTCAGACCTAATGCTTCTGAAATAATGCTGAGTTGCTCAAGATATTTTTTGTAATTTTTAACAGGAAATGTTCGGTGTGGCGGTGTCTACGTGATATACAGCCATACTATGCACATCTAATTACATTATTCAGACTCATAAAAAGGCCTATTTACCTGCTCAAGAGTAAGAGGCATCACATGAAGTTACTAATTCCATATATTATTTTTGGTGGAATGATTAAATTCTTCACGAAACAATGATGAGTATGAAATAGTTCCATGTATGATTACCTCTTCACAGCCAAATGCCCCCATCCGTACTCGGTCAGTAGCTCACAGCTGTTCTCAGTCCATACGCGCAGGGCCAAGGGGTCTCTATGGAGAGCTCTGCACAGCCATACCCCAGTGCCTCCTCACAGGCTAAGGAGCACTTTCCTGGCACAGACATGCAAAGAGCAGAACTTTGCCCATCGGCTGGACAGCTGCTGCCAATGATGCTATGGTGATTTGCATGCAAAGCAAAGATGTTTTGAATTGAAATTAGGGTAGGTTTGAATTGAATTTTTAAATAGACCCCAACACTCTCAGCAGCCCAGTCCTGTGTAATCTACATCTGGCAGGAGGTATCTTTAAATAACTGCTCTTGGTTTTAATTTCACGAAGAGCTCTATCACGCCCTTCCCTGTCTGCAACAACTCTCCCTGCTCTCCACTTTATCCTTTCCTGCCAGTGGGCAGGTGGGAGAGCAGCAGAAGGGGAGGAAAGGCATTTCAGAGGCCCTCACCAGTAGCATTAAGAAAGCAAAGATTACCCCTATAAAAAAAACGTTCTCCAAGATAGCTTCTGGTGTCCTTAAATTCTCAAGATAATGTTTATATAGTGCCAGGAGGAACTGGGCCTATGACAGCACAAAGGAGCAGATCTTCATCTTTGGATATCTTTAGTGTCCAAAGGAGGGCTACAAAGATGGTGAAGGGTCTGCAGGGCAAGAAGTATGAGGAGCAGTTGAAGTCCCCTGATTGGCACAGCCCAGAGCAGAGGAGCTGAGGGGAAGCCTCATGGCAGCCTATAGCTCCTCACAGGGAGCTGAGGGGCAGAGTTGAGCCCTGCTCTGTGTGACAGCAACAGGACCTAAGGGAACAGCATGGAGCTGTGTCAGGAAAGGGGCAGATGGAGGTTAGGGAAAAGTTCTGCACCAGAGGGCTGTGGGCATGGAACAGGCTGCCCAAGGCAGTGGACACGACCTCGAGCTGCTGTTGTTCAAGGAGCACTTGGACAATACTGTCAGACATAGGGTTTGAATTTTCCACGATCCTGCATGGAGCCAAGATTTGGAATCAGGGGACTTTGTGGATTTCAAAATTGGGATATTTTATGATTCCAATATTTTCATTTTATACAGAGTGTAATTTAACTGAGCAAGATCATGTGAAAGGTCTGTGACAAAGCTGTTAGTAGAACATAACTACTGAGCAGCAGTCACAACCATAGTGCCCTGTACTGCAGTGTCTTTCATCTTCATAACAAAGCAAAATAAGAACAGGGGAAGGGGAAGGCAAAATTAACTTCAAATAGAAACAAAGCAGAAGAAGACAGACTCCAACAGCCAAACTCCATGATTTCTACTTCAAACCACGCACCATCCTACAGATACTAAGTAATTTATCTCAGTAAACACAAACTGACTTCAAGGTACAAGTTTGTAAGAAAACCTTAAAACACACAAAACAAATATTTGAAAGTTTTGCTATGAAAATGTTACTTAGCTCTTAAGGCTCTCTCTTCTGTGAGCTGTGCACTTACCTGAAGTATAGGCTGTCTGCACAGTTACATCTCAAAGGTGACGTAGATGAAGAAATGAAAGACGTTTTCCACCACTGCAAAAGAAATTAAAATATGAATGGAATTATAACTTCATTTGATGTCTGCACACTCTCTAGTGCCACATAGTAATGATCTTAAAAATGTATCCGTAATACACAACCAGAGATGAAGGTTATTTGGGTTTTGCTAGGAAGCCAATCCCAGCCTTTTATTATTTCTGTATGTATATTTAAAACATCTGCACACAAAATGCTTATGTTAATTTTAACATAGCCAAAATAAGAACTTGTCATCTCTCTGATCAATTCTGCACACAGCTTCACATAAACTGTACTCCAAGAATATTGTATCTTTATACAAATGTGTTGTGCAGACACATTTGGTAACTTTTTCACAGTGCAAAATTTCCTGCTTTATTGCATAGCTTGAAAAAATTTGGATAAATATTATTAGAATTCAGGAATTCTAAGAGGAAGTGAAAAATATCTATTCTTACTAATGTACCTTTAGCTTTG